AAGGAGCTCGGTGAAGTTCCCGGGCAATCCTGGGTCCTGACCTTACCAAGACTGGGTGGTTCCTGTCCTCCTCAGAGTCTGTGAGTCACCCCTACACTTTCATAAATCCTCCTTTTTGTGAGATCTGGCCAGAGCTGGTTTCTGTTGCTGACAACCAAAATAATATTTACTCTGTGGTTTAGGAAATTCTGATCAGAGATCAGAGGAGGCTCCTTTCTATTTGCTAGGCCATAAATTAATCAGTTGGTTCCTTTTTGCTTGTTTTCTCAGAGATTTAGAACCTCAAAAGATAAAGATCAGTAAAGAAGGTTTTTCGAAAGTCTCAATTTTCTGCCCTCAGTAACAGAGTAACATTTATTAACAATCAAATTAGCTATACTGCTTTTTCAGCTATCCTCTATAAAAGTTTATTTTGTTTTGCTTCAAAAGTCCAAACAGTAGAGAACTCGCCCTGGCCCTCTTAGAGGGGTGGACAGAGAGATTCTACACTGGACACGACTTGACCATTGCTTCCAAGAAGTGGGGTGACTTAACTTCCTTTTTAAAACCCAAATGATTAGATAGAAATAGTTTCCGATATAAATGATTTCCAATCACAACTTTTTTTAAGATTTTATTTATTTATTTTATTTCCCCCCAAAGCCCCAGTAGATAGTTGTATGTCATAGCTGCACATCCTTCTAGTTGCTGTATGTGGGACGCAGCCTCAGCATGGCCGGAGAAGCGGTGCGTCGGTGCGTGCCCCGGATCCGAACCCGGGCCGCCAGCAGCGGAGCGCGAGCACTCAACCGCGAGCACTCAACCGCTGAGCCACGGGCCCGCCCTCCAATCATAACTTTATTTGAGGCACTGAAAAGTATTATTAGGGCCGGCCCCGTGGCTTAGCGGTTAAGTGCGCGTGCTCCACTGCTGGCGGCCTGGGTTCAGATCCCCGGCGCGCACCCACACACCGCCTCTCCGGCCATGCTGAGGCCGCATCCCACATACAGCAACTAGAAGGATGTGCAGCTATGACATACAACTATCTACTGGGGCTTTGGGGGAAGAATAAATAAATAAAATTTAAAAAAAAGTATTATTATACACATTAAATATTATCAAGTAAATAGCTAGCATAATATCTTAGGATATAGAGAAAGAGAGATGAACTTTGCAAAAACACTTCGTGCTTTTGATCCTTTGCTTTCTTGTAACTTGAATGGGTCTTTTCTTAGAAAGAAAAGTCCAAGGCCACGTGGAATGATGCTCTTGGAATGCCGGTGGCAATTTACAAAGCCCATCCCTTCACAGATGAAGGAAGGACTGCCATATGGCAAATGACTGAGAAGCTTGGCTTGCAAGTACACATTTGTCCCAGTGGGCTGCTGGCATTCCATGGTGTCTCTCCAACGCTGAGCAGTTACTCTGCATCCCAAAATTTACGATGATCCAGGCAGTGCACCTTTTCCCAAACACTTCAAGTTTACCGGTCAAAGCTTCTGGCAGAAATCCAGAGGACCAATGGGAGTGGAAATGACTTTAACATGGGATCCTCTGCCTGAAAAATCGGCTGCTCTTTGCCTCACCTGCTGCTGACCCAAGAGATGCTGGGTAGACATCTTTGAGGGGTCCAGGGCAGTCCAGGAGGGGCCTTCAGGGAGACAGACACAGGACACCCAGGTGGGGGCAGTCTCTGCCCAGCTGTGGTGCCTGTCCCACTGTGCCTTCTAACCAGCACCTCTGGCTGATCAGGTCTGCAGGGCTTCAGGTGGCCCTATGTGAAAACTAACATCTTGCCTTATGTGACCACATGTGACAGGCAGCGCAAGGATTGTACCAACTCTAGGTTCCTAAACATCCATGGATTTCACCTCTGACCTAGACTCCTCACAGGAACACAAAGCCGTCCTGGTGATGCTGGTGGATATTGTCACCTTCTCAGGGTACTTCAGCTCCTGCTCAGCTCATTACAGCCACTTATTAATATCTTCTCCTTCTATAAGTTTCTCAGCTGCCATATTTCCACACTCAGCTCCTAGTTTTCCTCTGATTTTGGAGGACATTGGTTAAGGCCTTTTAAATACAAAGTCACTTGGACAGTGCCCACTGTCTACAGTGGATCATTTGGCTACTTGGAGTATCTATGTGGCCATACCTCCTACAGCGACAGGACTATTCAGACTACTCATTGTTACCACATTCACATACAACTCAAAGCCACATACCACACACTGCACTTCTCAATCTGGACCTCCTCATTCCATCCCAACTTGTGCTGCTACTTTTACTCCTGGGCTCCAGTGACATGCTGAGAGAACTGCAGGGGCCAGCCGGGTCTCCTGGATACCCACGTGAGATATAATCAGGCCCTGCTCCAGTTCAGCACCTACCCATCTGTGCCGCCACCTGGAGTCCTTGAAGGGATGGTCCGTCAACTCAGAATATTCTGACTCTTCCTACAACCCTCCCTGTGACTCCAACTTATCTTTAACTGTCCCCTGGTCTCTCTGACCCCCTGAGATGCTGGCCCAACCCTGTATCCTTGTGGCCAGAACAGACAATCTAGGGTGGAGAATCAAATTGTAACATGAGAGCTGCTGGACTCCTGATGATGCCCTGGCCAAATAAAGTCCCTAGACTACCGGCAAAGGTTCAGCCCAGGGAAACAGACATGGGAAACCACTTATCACTTTCAGAATATGCTTGAAGAGGTTCAAGTTTTCCATCAGGTGAAACCTATTCTACCTGTGGAAGGCAAGGGGGCAGGGTGGGGATGAGATACCAGATCAGTTCCTGTAACTGTTCTTTCTCCATCTATGATCTGGGCCAAGAATGTTCCATAAAAGGCTCCCTCCCTCATGTACCACGGCCACAGGGAATTTCTCCATGTGCTGACTTAGATCTTACCTGAACTCTGATGCAGACCCTTCCTTTTGGGTTTGATTATTGCTCTCTAACTAGTTCCATAGATGAGCTGTTTAGATCATTCCTTGCTTTCCAAGGCCACCTTGCCTGGGACGTGCCTGTCCTAACTTCTCTGAGATCCAACTTCGGCTTTTAAGATCTCAGCATGAATCAGAGCCCTGGGCCCCTCATTCATTTGGAAAGAAAGGGTGGTTGGCAGGGTGTGTTGAGTTAGAGGTGCCAATGGAAAATGTCTTGTGCTTATGAGAGAGGTCTAAGCTGGAGATAGAGATTTCGGAGTCATTAATGCTTATAGGTGGTAGTAGAAGCCACGAGTGTGGATGAGCTGCTCAGATAGAGTGAGCTGCATGAGAAGAGAATAAGGGATGAAACCCAGAGACGACCAACAGGGAAGGGTCAGGCAGAGGTGCCTGCAAAGATGACTGAGCAACTAGAGAGGCTGTAGCGAAACTAGGAGAGAGGGGCTCCACCGAAACTGTGAAAGAACTTCAAAGAAGCAGGGAGGGGCCGCCCCGTGGCTTAGCGGTTAAGTGCACGTGCTCCGCTACTGGCGGCCCGGGTTCGGATCCTGGGCGCGCACTGACACACCGCTTCTCCGGCCATGCTGAGGCCGTGTCCCACATGCAGCAACTAGAAGGATGTGCAATTATGACATGCAACTATCTACTGGGGCTTTGGGGGAAAAAAAACGAGGAGGATTGGCAATAGATGTTAGCTCAGGGCCGGTCTTCCTCGGCAAAAAAAAGAGGAGGATTAGCATGGATGTTAGCTCAAGGCTGATCTTCCTCACAAAAAAAAAAAAAAAAGAAGCAGGGAGGAGTCAACAGTGTCAAATGCAGCTAAGTGTAGTAAATTGAAGTTTGAATTAGATTCAGCAACTGGGAAGTCACTGGGGACCTTTGGACTAGCTCATTCAGAGGCCTGGGGGGAGCAGAAGCAGAGTGAGTCATAGACTGTCTATGCTCGGCAGCACAGAGCACTCTGGGTACCAAAGATGTATCTCTTTATTGACTGCTACCTGCCCCTCCCCCTTTCTGCTTACATTTATGTTTCTCTTAGCTGAAACACCCAAAAACATTGCTAGTCTGGATCAATACAATAGTTTGAGATCTTCTTCTTCTTCTTTTTTTTAACTATGAAAACTACTGCAAAAGCTTTGCTGGGTTCATATATAGCACTATCTCACAGTTTACCTTCAGGTTCTGAGTTTGCAAGCTGGTAAACACTTTAACTGGTTCAACATAATATAAATTTGGCTTTTCATGGCAATGCTAGTCCCACATCACTAGTCCCATTGACAATAACTGGCTGGAGTGACCAGCAGCCTCAGTCTTCCTTGCGGTCTCCATCTGCCCAAAGTCACCTCTGTTTCCTATCACTGTCCCTGATTTTTCTTATGCTTGGCTAACTTCACTCATTTGTTGGCTTCTTCTCTCTCCTCAAAGGTTTATTATTTAATTTATTTATTTTATAATTTTATTTATTTATTTTCCCCCAAAGCCCCAGTAGATAGTTGTATGTCATAGCTGCACATCCTTCTAGTTGCTGCATGTGGGACACGGCCTCAGCATGGCCGGAGAAGCGGTGAGTTGGTGCGCGCCCAGGATCCCAACCCAGGCAGCCAGCAGCCGAGCGCAGGCACTTAACTGTTAAGCCACGGGGCCGGCCCTCAAAGGTTTAATTATTGAACAAAACATGTATCCCATACATTTATGCCATGCCTTCACATTTATTTACAAAGCAGCTTCTATTATTTACATCTCACAACAACTCCAAGGAATTATTAGGTAGGAAGGGCAGCGGCGACGCGCATGCGCCCCCTGCCTGCACTCCGGCGCGCTGCAGCCCCGCACGGGCGCTGCCTCTTCCCGCCCGCCGGTGAGGAGCTCTAGAGAAAGCCAAGATGCGAGTGCCCGCGCAAGGCTTCCTAGGAAATGTCTTGGCTGGACGTGTTAGAACTACAAATCCCGGTACGCACCGCGCTGCAGCCCAGACGATGAGGGTGCTTTCTGGTGAATCTGAATCTTGTTTGTCAGTGCCATTGGGAATTGCTACAAAGCCTGATTCAATATTCACAGCAGGCTTTTGGGGAACATGATAGTTCTTCCGCTAGGTGCACAGGAACGGACTTAGCTTTTGCAGCTTCCTCGTACTTGCTCGATGTGGCGAATCTGCGGTTGTGATACCGTGGCTAGGCGCGCAAGGCCCCAACGTGAAGCGTGTGGAATCTGCCTTGGGAAGAAGGACGCGAGGGTTTCTTGGGCCGCTACAGGCATGGCGGCGACTGCCCCCAGTGCGGGGGGCTCGGCGCCTGAGGCGGCAGGGTCGGCCGAAGCCCCGCTGCAGTACAGCCTTCTTCTGCAACACCTGGTGGGTGACAAGCGTCAGCCCCGGCTCCTGGAGCCTGGTAGCCTGGGCGGGATCCCGAGTCCGGCCAAGAGTGAGGAGCAGAAGATGATCGAGAGGGCGATGGAAAGCTGCGCCTTCAAGGCAGCGCTGGCCTGCGTGGGAGGTGAGGCGAGGCGAGGGGGCCGCGTGGGAGGCTGAGGGCTGGGACAGCAGCGGGGGCCTCTGCCAAGAAGCCCACGCGCCTGGGAGGCGAGGGGCCTGTGGCCCTCGACCCCAGTCCACCTTGACGCCTCTCTGGTCCCTGAGGTTAGCTTTCGCCTCTGGAAATTGGGTCAGAGAATCGGTACTATGGGTCGGGGCTTGGAGTTATAAAATGGCTGACTTCGTTCATTCGCTTTTTTTTTTTTTTTTTGTGAGGAAGATCGGCCCTGAGCTAACATCCGTGCCCATCTTCCTCCACTTTATATGGGACGCTGGCCCAGCCTGGCCCTACAAGCGGTGCGTCGGTGCGCGCCGGGATCCGAACCGGTGAACCCCGGGGCCGCCGCAGCGGAGCGCCGGCATGTAACCGCTTGCGCCATTGGCGGTCCCCGTTCATTGACTTTTAAATAATCATTTTTCCAATTGTTACTGAGCGAGTATCACGTGCCAGGCAGTGGAGAGACAGGGTGAGAGACAAGAGCTTTGTTCTCGTGAAACTAACATTTTAATATATAGAGAAAGAACAATGTTGTGAAGGAGGCTGGCCTGGCAGAAGAGTGCTGCAGACACAGGGAACAGCAGGTGGGAAGGTCTGGCAGGAGCTGGCTTGAGGGTTGGAAAACAGAACGGCCAGTGTGACTGGACAGCGGTGAACAAGGGGGAAAGTCTGGACTTGGCTTTTTTTTTTTTTTTTTTTACCTTTTGAGGATTTGAGAATGTAGCTGCCCCGTGTGCAGAGTAAAGAGGTTGACCACATTTGCAGATGAGTTTAAATCTCGTTGAGAATGAAAGACATTTGACAAACAAATATAGAGCGAGTGCCATTGAGAAGTATAGTAGAGACAAGAAAGAGCTTTTTGGGGAGGACCACAGGAACAGGTGAGACTGGAGCTGTAGCCTGAAGGATTGAGAGAAGGGGGTAGACGGGAGGAAGAGAAATGTCATTTCACGTTGGCGGTGGAGTGGGGGATCTGGGCTTTTTGCCTACAGGCGTTAGGGCAGTCTTTGATGGTTTTAGGAGTGTAAAAGGTGGTAATGAGCGTGTTGACTCAGGATGGAGCATGGTGAAGGATGGGGAGACCAGGTAGGAAATTTGCCATGCCGAAGCTCAATGAGTGTGCCTGACCCTAATAGGTCATTTACGTGTTTGTTGAAATGATGGATGAGTCTTTGTAGTGCTGCAGGGTGGAAGTGATAAAGGCCCCCAGACTAGGATGATAATTATGGACATAGACAGAGTTGTAGGGGGAAGCAAAGAAGCAGTCACAAATGCTCCTGAGGTTTGGAGCTGGGGTGACTGGAAAGTAGGAGCCATAAGTGAGAAACTCTGGATGGGAGGTCCCTTTGATTTCATTGAACATACATTGACCTTGAAGTGATGAGAGAGCATCCATATGGAAATGTCCAGCAGGCTCAGCAAGGTCAGATGTGGACAGCAGTGTGGGGTTTGCCATTGGTAGCTTTGTGACCTTGGGGAAGTTACTTAACCTGAAAGAGGCTCAGTTTCTTCAGCTACAGAAAGGAGAGGATAATAGTTTCTGTCTCACAGGATTCTTGTGAAGAATAAATGAGGCTGTGACTATAAAGCATCAGAGTAATTGGCACATGGTACTTGGTTAATCACTATTATGAATGTCGTCATCGGAAGTGATTTACAAAATTGAAAGCTGAACTTGAGGGTGACTGGTTGCATATGAGAGTGTAGAGAGAGAACAGAGGGTTAAACACCGAATCTTGAGGAATATTAGAAAATGAAAGGAGGAAGAACACCAAGAGGAGACAGAAGAAGATGTCCACAAGTAGATCCTAGATTGCGTAATGTGGAAACCAGACAAGTGGAGAGTTTGAGTGGCAAGGGAGGGTGTCCTCTTCGTTGGTGGCCACCCAAAAGGTGCTATTGGAGTATGACCTCATTACAGTAATGCAGAAACATGCCAAAGAAGTCTTCATCTCTTTGTTTTTAGGATTTGTCTTGGGAGGTGCGTTTGGGGTGTTCACTGCCGGCATTGATACCAATGTGGGCTTTGACCCTAAGGATCCTTACCGGACGCCGACGGCAAAAGAAGTTCTTAAAGACATGGGGCAGAGAGGAATGTCCTACGCCAAAAATTTTGCCATCGTGGGCGCCATGTTTTCTTGCACTGAGTGTTTGGTAGAGTCTGTAAGTGTCTCTGCCTTCTCAGAAAGCCTTACCTGCTGCCATCTTATGACATCTAAGGAGAAATGGTCTTAATGTTATTAGAAAGCAGATCAGAAACCTCTGATACTTGCTTGCTAGATTGAATTTCCATTAGATAGTCCCTAATGTAAACTTTTTTGTGTGTTTATGGTTTGGGCTTGCATTATTTTTTACTTCTTTTTGTAGGCTAGAAGTTGGTTAATGATTTAAACATGACACTTACTGGGGAAATCTCTTACCAGAGACATTTTGATTACTTCTCAAATGCTGCGCTTTGTTTCAGCGCTCTGCTGCCACCTGCAGGAAGCATCTATGAACACATGCAAATTTTAGGAACTAGATTTTTGAAAGAGAAAAAGATTAGGTTTCCTTTGGGGTGGGACTGAATTAGCCAGCTAGAAACCCTGTTTTTTTTCCTTAATCGTCTTGTCTGGCTTGTTTCTTTGGCTCTGAACTGCACTTTTCCACCCATAGTACCGGGGAAAATCAGATTGGAAGAACAGTGTCATTAGTGGCTGCATCACGGGAGGAGCTATTGGTTTCAGAGGTTAGTAAACAGCTCTCGAATGGTTTTCTCTGTGGACTTGGACAATGTGCCGAAGTTGACATTTCCAAACATGTGAGTGTTCCAAGGACAGCCCAAGGCCTGTGTGAACACTTGGTATTCTTCCCTTCTGACAAATAAATCATGCTTGCTTCTTCGTTAACTCAATCTTGGAAACTTCTAGTATCTAGATGAGGGTTTCTCATCCTTGGCACTGTTGACATTTTGGACAGATGAATCTTTTCTGTGGGGGGAGGGGGGCTGTCCTGTGCCTTGTAGGATGTTTAGCAGTATCCCTGGCCTCTACCCACTAGATGCTAACAGCACACTTTAGTTGTGACAACTAAAAGTGTCCCCAGAAATTGCCAAGTGTCTCCTGGGGGGCCAAATTGCTCCCAGTGAGAACCACTGATAGATCTAGATCTATCTTAGAAAAAAGAACTGCCCACATATTGAATATATGGGAAGAACTTCCTCACAGTAAGTAATTCCTGGAAAATGTTGATATTCAGGATAGTACAGAAGCATAGCTCGGCCCCATTGAGCCCTTGAAAGCCCATTTGTCCACATATCAGGCTCTACTGAACTTTCAGCTCCATGCATTTCAAGTATTTAGACATTTTTCTTAATAATACTATACAACTGTTGGTTTTAATTTTGTGTCTAAGTTATTACGGTAATGTCTTTCTGCAGTTGAGGATTCTTAGATTTCTACCCAGTGAAAGCCAAATATAGGTATTCTAGAAATGTTGGGTTATCAGCTGTAAATAACAAAGAAAGAAACCAGTTTACTGCCACTTCTCCCTGTTGACGTGTCCATCAGGAGCGTGTTGTGGGGCGTCATGACCTGACTTTCCTGACGTGTCCAGTGCTGGGCCGCTTCCCATCTGCCAAGCCCTGACTTACCCAAAGCAAAAAGCCTGTTTTCTCATTTTGTGAGAGGCAGGATGATTTGCTATCATTAAAACCTGCTTTTGCTCCTCAAACAGCCATTCATGATTTATAGAGTAATGTCTCCTTTGGTCTTCCCGTCGCTCAGCTTTGTCAGGGCCTCTGAGAAGCTCAGCTCCCTCTCAGACGGCTTTGATCACCTTCCCAGGAATTTACTCAATAAACAAATCAGAGTAACAGGCCGTATGCTTTCACTTGATTCCAAGGGCTGGTTCTCTTAACCAGTTTCCTGCCTCTGAGGGGCTATTTTCATGAGACTGGAAATATTAATTCTTTGGAATGAGAAAAGTTAAACGAATGTAGTTAGATAAAGCACACTGAATTAAATTGTATACACAGCTTCATTGAAGTCATACAGATCTCTGATAGGTTGAATGACTTAGAATGCTTAAGCTGATTCCTTTGCATCTGTGGGTATGCAAACTTTTTGTGACTGCAACCTGACCCAGCATCTGTCACCACAGGTAATGTCATTTCTGTTTGCTTTACAGCTGGCTTAAAGGCTGGGGTCATTGGCTGTGGAGGTTTTGCTGCTTTCTCTGCTGCAATCGATTATTACCTACGGTGAGAGTATTGCCTCTGGGGAAGGACAGCGCCAGCCCAGGATCAGAGCTGTACCGTGGAGGGCAGTTTCTGCAGCACTCCGGGCACTTGCTTCAGAGACTGAAGATACTTGTTTTCCCTCATATAGTTGGTGTGCTGAGGAAGCTGCCTGGCTGCTGTCTGCCTCCATCCTCTGAGCAGCTGCACCCTCTGCTTCTGGACTCCTGCCTGGCTGTGCAGGGGCTGTGCCCTGCCAGCCTCTCTCTTTGGGGCAGATCAGGAGACAATGTGTTGACTTACTTAAGAATTAAGCTCCACAGAGGTTCAGTCCTGACCACAGCTGGCCCTCTGGTTGTTTGGCGCTGTAGGAACAGAGGTGACTTTACATATACCGAGGAAGCTGTTCTACCTTGGAACTCCGTGCAGTTATCCATCTCGCGTATCAGGGCAGGGCCAAGTAAATTTATGCCATCCGGCTAGTTATATCGTCTTGTTTAGCATTCTGATATCCTTGTTAAAAAGATATATATTTATATTACGGTTTAAAAGTTTGGTTTATTTTTATTTTTAAATTCCACAATTCCCCAAAATGCTGCCAGATGGCCCAAAGATTGAACATCCAAAGGGAAAGAGTAAGAGGCTCCTGAGAAGTCTGAGAATGTTAGGTTCTCAGGGTTTGTAGAATAGTGTTATCCTCACCGAGATTGTTACATTGGCCAGGGCCTTCCCCCCAAGAAGCCCAGCCTGGCCACTTCCTAGGATGCATTGAGATTCCATGCATAAGGCCTGCGTGGCCTCTTGTAAAAAACCCTTGAGGGCTGGCTGATAGGAATGCCTGCAGTCTGAACCACATACTGGTTTTATGCTCTGACACTGGAGCAGGCCTGGCTCGAGGACACGACGTGTGAAGGGGCCTGCTATGATCGTCTTGATGACTAAATCACAGCAGCTGCTGGGTGAGAGCAGACCTTGTTGAGGGGCTATTCACCACTACCCTTGTTCTCGGCTCAGTGTCGGTTTGTGTTTGTTTTTTAACACATTAGTGTTTTTGACTTCACCCGTTAGCTTTTTTGTGACAGGAGAAGCTCAGCCTAATTGTGTGCTGTAGGCAAAAAAAAATAGCCCTTTATGATTGGGATCTGCCACAAGTGCTTCCTGACTCTGAAGCTTTGGTGGCAAGATGAAGTTATGAGCCGAGGCTTCTGCTTGTGGGGGCAGGAGGGACTGTGTAATTCTGGCCACCCCCAGCCAGTGTAATGACTCCTTTTTTCTACAGTACAATAACTCCTTTGCCTTTCTTTTTTTGCTTTCTTCTCCCTTGTGTGCTGTCTTCTAGCGTACCCACCCTTAACCAGAATTCAAAGACTCAGCTGAAACGTCCAGGCATCTTGAGTGCGTGTTTGTATGTGAGTGATAATGTCAAACCCAGCTGGTAACACCTTCCTCTGGCCATGTCTGCTGTTTCCTTTGGAATGAATGTGAGCTAGTGCACAGGGCTCATGTCCTTCTATGGTGAATTCTATATAATGCCTGTCTCAGTCTCACAGGCAAGAGGCTTCATTGCTGCTAGGCCAGCTGGAGTATCCTCAGAGATCTGAGAACAAATTTAGTTGTGTTTCTTATACTGTCCCTAAATAAGTCATGGATAAGCACTTTGAGAGCAAGAGCAGATACTCCTACCTAGCACCTGCTGAGGTGCTAGGAAGCCCGGCATCTTCTACCGGACAAGAGGCTAGTGTGTGGGGTCAAATACACAGAATGACCAAGTACTAGACGTGCTGCCCTCACAAGTGCCTTGGAAAAGATGAGCCCTGGGGATGTCAGTAGCCATCAGTTCAATAAGCCAAGCATTGTCCACACTGACTATTCAATCAAGAGAGGAGATGAATAGTTTCCTGTTTTAGATGGCTAAGGAGTCAGTGTGAGCTCATAAACCAAACACCAATTTTTCAGAGACATCTGTTCCTGATCTCCAGAATAAACACAGTGTCTAATGGCTGAGGCTGGTGGGAGCCTACATTAACCCCACTGGCTCTCATAAAGGGAGGCTGGGTCCTCTAGTGGATCCAGCTTCTCTGACAAGCAGATTAGGCCAAAAGGCTGCCCCAAAGATGTGCTACTTCCAAGGAAAATGTAAAGAAAAAAGTTTACATAAAATAGCTCCACTTGAATGGACAACTTCCTGCCATGTCTCCGAGGCATACTGATGGCCAGGGGCCTGGTGGGACATTTGTACTTCATGAAAGGAGCTGCCTGGTGGCTGACCTGGAGACCTGGGTGAAGAGCAGGGAGGGGGCTCGGGCTCACCTCCCCCCGAACTCCGCCACAGTCCCCACAGGCCACAGTCCCCACAGGCCGAAGGGAAGCGCAAGGAGAGTTAACTAGGTAAATAGATTCCTGGAAACACATCTGGATGCAGCTGGAAGAGTGAAATATTTAGACTGGTGGTCCTCCCTGGACGACTAAGAACATAAACGTCCACACCACAGGGCTGAGTTGTGTGCAAATGTTGGGGCTTTGCATTTTTTTTTATTAACGTTTTCCTTTCACGTGGTTTACATCAATTTATAATAATCTACATAAGTTGAAACAAAACATAGACAAAAATAATATATCCTTACCAACTTATTAAAGTCAGATATTAATGAAGGGTCCCATCCTACCTGTATCAGCAAAACCCAGCAGCCCACGGCCATTGGCCAGCAAGGACAGGCGTACTGGGATTCCTGTGGCCTGTCTGCAGGGCTCCTGTTGGCACAGTGGCTGGGGTTCCAGGCTGCACGGTCCCTGTCCCTCAGGAGAACTCACGGGCTGTTTCCCTGGTGCAGCTTAGTCCAGGTCTGGTACCCACCCCTCCCCACTCGGGGTGGGATTTACAAATATTCTGAGCCTTTTGCATTTCTCAGCACTTCCAGCCTTCCTCCCATTCATACTGCCTATGCAAGCTTGGGGGCTGCAGGAGCTACCTGCTGCTGAGAAGCAAACATCCCTTGTTTTGGGGGGGTGGGAGGCACCCATTTTTGGCTGTAACTAGCTCTCAGCAGGACCTCCAGTTGATTCCTGTCAATGGCTTTGGAAGCAAGAGCCTTTCATGCCGCACACCGACTCCTGAGCGCCCAGCAGAGACTCCAGGGAGGCTCGGGTGCTGGGATCTCTAGACCAGTGGTGTTTTCTCCACCCCCTGTCCCAGGGAGCAGGGCTCCTTCCTAAGCTGCTGTCAGGCAGCTAGGGGGTCAGTATTTCCCTCCTCTTGGGCATTTCTTTCCTCCAATGTGCACAGAATGTGTACCGTTCTGCCCAAGATTGGGCAACAGGTGTAAACAAGATCAGAAAGGGCCCTGCCTCTCACTGACCAAGTGCTGCAGCTTTAGGGCAGCAAACCCTTTAAAACTCAGCCCTGAGCACAAGCTACGGGAGCTGTTCTCTCCAGTCCTGAGGGCCTAGAATTTACTCTGCCACACAGGAGCGCCAGACAGCTGTGTACTACAGCTCAAGCCCCTCAGCCTGGGAGTGTCTGCTCTCCCAGGCTAACTGGTGCAGGCTAGCAGCCACTGCCCAGATGGGAAGAGATGATGCTTTGGGGATTCACTTGGCTCCTTTCCACTGAGCAGTGGGTCTCAAAGTTGGGAAAGGAACCTGCTGATCCCCTACTCTGGAGTAGAGCATCAGTAATGAGGGTCCCCAGCAAAACCCAGCCCCAAGAGAGGCAGATGCTTGTGACTCCTTGTCCTTCCCCAGCTTCTGGAGTTTCCCCGAGGTCACCCAAAAGGCTGCATCTAGAAGCCAGGGGTGCGGAGGCAGCACCATGATGGCTGGCTACTGCTGGACTGTGCCTGCCTTTTCCAGGGCCTAGAGCACATGTGGCCATGGGGGCTGCCCCGTGGCAGTGCTTGGCTGTGGAGAATGTGTAAATCTAAGGCAAAGGTACCGTGAGGTACGTGAGGCACCAGGAAGGGCTTGCCTCCTGGTTGGAGCCTGCCTGTTGCTGGACACCAGCTTCAGCCATATTAGTTGCCCTCCTGGAAGCCACTACAACTCCTGCTGCTGAGAGCCACGTCCCCCCAACTCAGGACACCCAGTGCTCCGTGGCACTCCTCTGAATGTTCAACCTTGTTTCCTCAGTGGCCCAACTCGCCTGCCTCGCCCCGATTCTTTCCTGACCCTCTGGCTGTCTTGATAGCAGGTCACTTGTGAGCCTACACTCAAAGGAAACAGAATACCAGGAGAAAAGGAACTGAAAAGCAGTAGAAGAAACAGTCGAAGATGCCTCACTGGTAGGCAGGAGACAGAACAGATAAACCCCAGAAATGGAGATTCTCAGATGGAAAATTCCAGAAATCTGCTCTCCAGCTCTGTGCTAAGCTGAGGATTAGTGTGAGTCTGTCTCCATGTCCAACATTTGCACAGGCAGCAAGGCAAAGCAGGTGTGCTTCCACAGATGGAGGACAGCGAGAGGGCTGGGAAGCAAGCGGCAGCATCTGCTGGGCCACCGCCACTGCCACCCAGGGCCTCCTAGAACTTTCAAGGTGATGGAGCGAAAACCGAGGCTGCACATGCATGCGGGCAGGCTGGGAGGGAAGGGAGGGTGGAGGCAAACCGAGGGGAGGCTGCCAGGAGACTGCAATCTGGGAGCAGGGCCAGGAGAGGACGAGCTGGCAGCAGTTACAGAGCGCAAAATAAAAGCCCTTGGACTGGACTTGGGAGAAAAGAAAGTGTTGGAGGAAATGAAAGAACAAAGCAGGCTGTCCGTGTGCCCACACCCGGTCAGTCGCTACCTTTTCTGCATGACAAACAGACATAAAACAATTCCCGAACAGCACGGAGCATCAGACACAACTAGAGGTACAGAGGGCAGGAGCCCGGGGCCTGGCGGTGAGGCTGGGGGCTGGGGCAGCTGGCTTTGTACAAGGTGGCACAAAAGATGCACATATTCCAGTTCTTGGAAATCTGTGTTCCTTGGAGTCTGGAGTGCTGGGTTTGGGAGTTTTCTATTGTAGTCTTTCAAGTCTGTGTTGGGTCCCCCGGCTGGAGAGGCTGGCGGGGCCACCCCCCCCACAGCACAGCTGCTCCCACCTCCGGCTACACATCGGTGGAGAAGTACAGTGTGTTCCGCTTCAGGTCTGCGAAGGAAATGGGAGGGTGCTGCAGGTAGTAGAGGAGGACCTGCACCTGTGGGGAGACAGGGGAGACTGAGGCTGGGGTCCTTGTCTTCATGACCCTCCTCTGATCCGTTGAGAAGAAATGGCCCCTGGGCTGGGGTCACATCTGGGTTGCCACCCCCCCGCCCCCGCTGGCTCTGGCAGCTTCACCTTCTTTGGAAGCCCAGGTGTGTCTGCCCGCTTGCAGCAATAGAGGGCGCTGCAGGGCAGAGGGTGGGGAGCCTGGGGCCACTTCTCCAACCTTAGTCATTAGCTTCCAACCTGCTCTAGAGGTTGGCTTTGGTTTGACAGCCCTGCCTCAGACTGGCCCCTGCCCTCGGTCTCTCAGGGATCCCAGGGAAGCTTCCTGACCCCAGAAGCAATCCTAGAGCTTCCACACATGAGGACAAGGCCCCCAGATTTTTCCTATACCCCTGGGCTTGCTTTATGAGACCAAGGCACTCCCAAGGTTGCAGCCAGCTCCTGGGACAGACATTCTCTTGCACTTTGTGTTTGGGTCTGGGAGGGGCAGGACTGTGCAGAGCCCTGGCTCCCTGGTGACATCCTGCAGGCCATCAACCCAGCTGCTCAGAAGGAAAGGGCTGTGGGACTCTGAGCTGTCCTCTCTCCACCCCTAGGTGGGGCTTGTCTCACCCCCCACCAGCCGCAGGCCGGGCAGTGCTGGTGGTACCTGGGCCATGACATCATGGGACCAGATGTCCGCAGCCGACGTGAGGTGTGCTTTGCTCTCCACTTCTGAGGGTCTCAGTAACGTGGGGCCAAACACCGTAGCCAGGTTGTGAAGGGACATTTTGTTGATGGGCTCCTTCTCAGCAACCCTGGAAGGGAGGGAAGAGGAGAAAAACAAAGTCGTTTCTCAGCAGCCATCAGAACTCCAGACCCTTGGCCTTAGCTGGAAGAACTGGAAGGATTCCTGGAAGGTGCTCACTAGCCTCCTCCTCACGAGAGACCCCTTGGTAGGGAGGGGACTAAACCAAGGGACCAAGGCCCCAGCTCTGTCCCAGGACATTGCTAGAACAGATTCCCAGCTCCTGGGCCATCCCCTGAACTGATGGTTAACTGCCAGAGCCTGAAGGACCCACCAGCTCCCTTGCCTTAGAGATCATGATATTACTGGTGCAAGAACTTTCCCTATAGTAATTCATACTCATCACAGTCCTTTGAGGCAGGTATCCTCACCTCCACTGTACAGATGAAAAAACCAAAGTACAGAGAGGTTAAGTGAGTTGCCTGAGGTTACACAGCTAGCAAGTGGTACAACTGGGCTCACAGTCTGCCTCCAGAGCCCATGCGCTTTACCCACAGTCAGTCGAGCTGTGGTGAGTGGCCCGGGAAGAGTCGCAGTGGGTGGGGCGGGGCCGAAGGTAGGGAGCTGGTCCCAGCAGCAGTTGCTAACTACACCTGAGGCTCTGCCCGCTGTTCTGTGGCAGGAATCACCCTAATCCCAGATGCAGCCCAGGGCTGTTCTCTCACACCTTTCCAGAAAGGTCTGCCTCATGGGACCCCAGAGTTGCCTCCCTTTGGATCTTCCTCTCCTTCTCTTGCATAACAGGCCAGATGCTCTGCAGATATTTCCCAAGTGACAGCAGGAGCTGCCATCTGTGGCTAGTGTCCAGGCAGGCCCAGTACCACCCAACACATCAGAGAGGCCCTGGGCCTCCCCCAGTCCTAGGAAAGGTTTCAGGGCTGAGACCCACCGGCCCCAAGCAGCACCTCTCACCCTACTCCCAACTCTAGCATCATTCCCACCCTCCAGGCAGGAGCCGTGGATGCGCCTGCTGACTGCTTTAGAAACGGGCAGACAAACACTGCCATGCCAGGAGGCAGCTGTGCGGCTGGCCCAACCCCACGGCCCCGGCCAGGGGCCCAGATGTGGGAACAGACTGTGCCCAGTTCCCAGGGTGGAAAACCTAATGAATTTTCCCTTCCCACTCCTCCTCTGTGTGTCCTCCCCACAGTGCTCGCCAAACTATTTGGGAATTGGTTGGGGCTTTGGTCCTGGCCAAACCAGAGGGAAAATATCTCATAATGGGAAAAACAAGACAGCAGCCCCAGGCATTTCCAGGTCTCCACTGACCCTCCCAAGCCAGCCAGGCGGAGCTGCAGCTAGGAGCCCAGTCCTGGGGGCTGGAGCCGAGCTCAGGGAGGACCTGGCCTGCAGGGCAGCCCCCTCTCTGGGGGGCTCCCTGTTTCAGTGGATTTAGGGGACACCTGGGAACTTTTCCTCCCCACTGATAGCCGGGACTAGTCCTGGGCTCAAGAGTGAGTGACGAGGAGCCTTCAGGGCCAGCCTGAACTTCGCTGCAGGCGTCCACTTTAGCGGTTCTTGGAGTGACCCGACTACGGAAGAGGTTGGGGAAAAGGTAGGAAGGGCCTTAGTGTAGGATTTGGGAGATGTGGCTTCTAAGGACAGAGCTGCTGCTAACCAGAAGCAAGTCCCTGCTGGGCTGGAGACTCAGTTTCCCCATCTGTTAGATGAGGTGTGGGTCAAGACCAGTGGGTTTCAAACTTTTCTGACTGTACCCGCCCACACTAACAAACACATTACACTGTAACCCAGCACATGTGGCTATAGCTAACTGAACAGAACAATACACTTCCTGCTTGCAGTGTGTCCTGATGCCATCTATTCTGTTCCATTTAAAAAATGCCAAAATGACTGAATGACCCAGTGACTGTTAAATCTATCCCTAGTCCTTGGCTCTAGGCCGACCTTTCTAAGCATTCTTGGCCAATATTTGAGGTTGCTGTTAGGACCCAAATATTATTCAAAACAGAACAATGTGAGTGCGAGAATTTGAAAAGCAAACTCGCACCCTGCTACAGATGGCCCAGCAGAGGCCAGCATCCACAAGGAATTGCTGAGGAGGTACGTCCCACAGCAGACGTGTCCTCCCCAGCGGGGGCCTGCCCTGGGCTCCCTGCCCCCCCTGGATGGGCCCCCGCCTGTTACCTTTTCAAGTGTTCCAGCAGGAAGAGGAAGGTGATGAGGTTGGGGTCAGGCAGGGAGCGGAGCAGGTGCATCATGCAGTTTTCCTTGGCAGCAGGGTCTGACAGGGCTGTGGGGAGAGATGGGCTAGGGCGGGGCTCGGCTCCTGGGAGGGGAGGCCCCAGCCAGAGCCCCCGTGGTCAGGAAGCTGCCGGACTCTGGGGGACAGTCCAGGCGGCTGGGGGTCAGGGGAGCAGACCCTACAGGGAAGGGCCTGGTATCTTCCCGAGGGTGGGCTATTAACAGCTGGTTCCTATAGGAGGCCCACCCGTGACCTGTGACTCCACCAGGAGGCAGGCTGGTGGGGAGCAGACACCCTTCCTCCCCTCACTGCACAGCCTCTGTGGCTGGTGCCATTCCCCATCCCTGGTCTGTAAGGCTCAGTTTAAGACAACGATGATACTGCCATGAAGGTTCTCTTTCAACTGCCTCTGATGCTGGAGTATGGCGGTGGGCAGCCTTCTGTGGGGCTCCTCATTTCCCGTGGTGGCTGAAGCTCTCATCTGCCCCAGGAGAAGAAGAGGCAGGAGGGATGCGCCCAATTTGGCCATGGGTGGAGGCCGGAACCCTGCTGGCCAGGGCTCTCAGCTTCCTCCCCATCCACGGATACATGAGACAAGAGTGCTCCTTCTGGAAGGCTCAGCACCAGCCATCTTAAGTGCATTCCAGCTTTAACCAGGCTTCTCCTTGGCTCTGGGGCACTGGCCCACCCACCTCAGGGCAGATTTCCCTGGACACCCGGGTTTCCAAGCAAGGAGGTCAGTGTCCAAGGAGGAAGCACAGAGGGCAGCCCACTGGGGCATGTGGGGAGAGAGCAGGTCCAGCCTCTGGATCAGGCCCCAGCAGGCTACGCCTTGTCCTCTGGGCCACGCAGCCACGTGGCCCCGGTGTACTGGGCAGGTCAACAAGCAAGGGCAGCCACAGATCTCTTCTCTTTACTTTGCTGGTCAGGGAGGCCTGGCTCAGCCCAGCCCTCAGGTCCCCTGGAGCCTCACCGATGCCCTCCATGAAGGCTGGGTAAAGTCTGTCTGTGAGGAGGGGCTCGGGCAGCTCCCGGAAGTAGAGCTTGAGGGTGCCAGCAATGGCGTTGATGTCCATGTCGCTCAGCATCAGCAGGATGTCCTTGTTATCTGTCGAGGAGGTGTGAGGTCAGGCGCCATGCCAGCCCGAGCCACCTCTCTCTCACAGCCCTCAGCTGGGCGGGTGGCCCTGTTCCACCCCCTATCCATCCTGAGACAGCCTGGCCATGGGCGCCCCTACCCACCCCATCTCTGGTCTGGTGTCCCCCAAAGAAGCAGGCTGTAGGTAGTGCCCGCAGGTGGTCCATGATTCAGCTCCATGAGGGGGGAGCGAGGGGAGCATAGTTCATCATCCAGAGTTCTGGAACCACATTCACACCCATGTCACACACCCTCCTTCCCACTGGAATCTCCCCACTACTAACCCCTCTGGAAGGCACTGTACATCTTTCACACCTAAATTCACGTTCTGACCAAGCCCCAGCTTCCAGGTTGCACAGAGGAGTCATGTGCCAGCGTGTCCCCAGCCCCACCACCCCAGGCTCCCCGACCATGTCTACTTGGCAGCTCTCCAGAGACCCACGGGGCCCCTCTCGGCTGCCATGGAATCAGCAGTGCCCGGCCAGTTCAGGTTCCTGACTACTGGACATGCTGCTGCCGCTGCAGTCTGAACCAGCGAGACGGGGGAAGGGAGAACCAGAAAGGTCAGGCCCGCCACCGAGGAGCTTACAGTCAAAGCCGGAGGCAGCAGTGCCCTCCCAAAGGGGCCCTGAGGACAGCAGAGGCGAGCCTGAGTCTCCAGCTCAGGCTCAAAGCTTTTAGTTTCCCTGCAGCCCACCAGGCACCCTGGAGCTAGCCAGAAAGCCAGGAACATGGACTCTGGAGTCAGAAAGATCTGAGTTTAAATAAGGCTCAAAACGTATAAACTGGGTAATCCTGGGCAAGTGACTTGGCCTCTCTGAGTCTCACTTTCCTCATCTGTAGCAGTAGATGAGAGATTGGAGGGCAGGAGGATGACATGAGAAAATGCAGGATGAGCACTTGCCACAGGGACTCAAACGGCCTACCCCATGCCATGCTGGACCGCAGGGCACAGACCAAGGCTCTTCTGCCATCGGCTAGCTGGGGCCACTCCATGGAGAAGGCCTCCTGGTAACACTGGGCTCTCCTGCCGGCCCTACGAGCTGCTGGAGCACCCTCTCCCCGCCACCCCTGGCCTGGGCCTCCCAGACTCACTGGCATCGAAGACGGCCTTCAGTGCCTGGATGTCCGTGGCCACCCCTGATATCCGGTAGATGCCGACCTCCTCGATGCCCCGCTTCTCCACCTCTTCCACACACTGCCGGACAATGTAGGGCACCTTGGAGCGCTCTCGCCTGTGGGGGAGGCGATGTGAGGGGTGGGAGCCCTCTCCCTGCATACCCTGGCCTTGGAGAGCTCTAGCCTCTGGGATCAGGAGGGGGCCACGGAAAGGGCTGCGAAAGAGGCTGTGCCATCCCCCCACTCAGTCTACCCAAGGCCTGCCTGCTGAGGGACCAAAGGCAGGAGAAAGTTTGGAGAGATAAGCCCAAAGACTCTAAGGAAAGAATGTTCCCTTAGAACAGAGGTCTCAGATTCAAATGCTTGTGGGGTACCCAGCAGGTAACCTACACGAGGGAAATGAGTCAGGTCCTGGAGACAAAGCGCATGGAGGGGATGGTGGTAATCGGAAGGACGCATGCCACCCCTCGATTCCAGCCCGCGACTGCCAAAACGTGGGCCTACAGTTGTCAAGTCTTCCCATCTATTATGAGAAGCTGACGATCTGGGCTTTTCACATGCACTCGCCCGACGTCAAAATGCTGGCTCATCTATTTCTAAAGCATGTGTGAGCCAGAGAACACACCTCCGCGGGCCACTTCTGGCCTCCAAACTGGCCGTCCATGACTACTGAACTGGAGGGTGACTGATGAGGGGCCAGCATAGGCAGGGAGGGCTGGAAGGCAGGGGCTCGCAGGGGCCCGGGCGCTGATGCCAGCACTCGGACACCGGAGGCAGCACCTACTTCGTCACCACACTGATCTTCACACCAAAGACGCCAGTCTGCTTCTTGGACGGGGTCCTCTTCAGGCTCATGTCTCGGCTGGTAAATTTCATGGAGAATTCCACTTTGATCTGGTTGGGGGGAGGCAGGCGTAAGTCCCCCCGGGCATAAGAGCCTGAGGAATGCCCCAGAATACTGCAAACAAGAGGTATTTCTAGCATCCAGGGCTCCCTGAAACACCTGCAGGATGGGAGTGGGAAGGGTGCAGGCAGAGGAGACGGGAGAGGGACTGGGCTAAGGGGAGGCAGGGGCAGGACAGCACCCTGAGGAAACCACCTGATGGGGCTGCCCACCCACTGCGCACTCCGGGCTCACCCCATTCATCTCAATCACATCCGTGTGCCAGTTCTTGGTTTCTACAGTTTGTGGATCCAACTGCAAAGAAAGAAAAGAAAGAGAACACGCGTGAGAGAGAGCTGACAGTTCAGAGACCCGACCAGGGCTCTGCCTGCTGGTCAGCAACTGCTCATAGGCTGCTAAATGGTCAAGAAGGCTGAAGAGGTGCCTGATGCTTATCTTGAAATCGATCCTTCAGGGCAGCTCCAGCCCCCAGGCCCCTCCTGCCCCAGCTAGTGAGGAACTCCCCTGCCATTGCTGTGAAAGAAGTAGAGCACACTGTTAGGCATTCTGCTCATCACATCTCATTCACTCCTGACCCTGTAAGATGAGTATTGTCACTCCATTTCACAGATGCAGACACTGAGGTTCATAAACAGAAAGCAAGTAGCTCAACCACTGATGAACTGGAGTCGCCAGGAGGGGCTGCAGCCATGCACGTGGAGGTGCTGAACGGGAGGCAGCGCGATGAAGAGGTTTGAGTCTGGTCTCGGGAGTCAGGTGCCTAGTCTGATTCCCGGCTCTGCCGCTTCCAGCCGTGGGGCCCTGGGAAGGTTTAACCTCGCTAAGCCCCATTTGTTTCATCTGTTCATCGAGCCAGTAACAGAACCTGCCTCGCTGGATTGTCGTGAAGACTCAAGGAGATAACCTGGGGTGAGCGGCTGGCCCCCCAGGAAGCTAACACTCTCTAGGGGAGGCCCCCAGATTAGCAGGAGGAAGTGGGAAGGGAGGTGTGGAGGACAGGGGAGGCTCAGAGGCACCCCTCACATGGGACGGCACAGGCCTCTGTTTCCCTAACTCAGTCGCCTTCAAACTGTTTTTCCTTGTGCACCCACAAACTAATTTTGAAAAACTTTGCACTCCCTGGCACATTTTTAATGAATATTGAATTCATTAAATTTATTTAATTTTTGAATATTTCCAAATATTTCTGAATATTTGGTGAACTTGCTGAATATTTCCAAAGCAAGTTTAAATAGCTGCAAAGAACAAAATTTCCAGAATAATGTAAATATTTACATCTTAAAAATAAAACTGTTACATCATTCTTTTAAATGTAGTCAGCGGAATCCAAGTATCGTAGTGATCCAATACCCACCATCAGCCATTTAAAAATACACGAACAAGGGGATAGCCTGGTGGCGCAGCAGTTAAGTTTGCGTGCTCCACTGCGGTGGCCTGGGGTTCGCGAGTTCGGATCCTGGGTGCACACTGATGCACCGCTTGTCAGGCCATGCTGTGGCGGCGTCCCATATAAAGTAGAGGAGGATGGGCACAGATGTTAGCCCAGGGCCAGTCTTCCTCAGCAAAAAGAGGAGGATTGGCATTGGATGTTAGTGCAGGGCTGATCTTCCTTACAAAAACAAAACAAAACAAAACATGAACAAGCTCTTCTTCCCCTTGTAGAAACCCTGCATTGTTTCTTTTTCTCCTCGAATTTATGTTTCTATCCTATTGCTCCCAAAGAATTTTGTCCTAGCTTATATTTCTATATTTTATTTTATTTTATTTTATTTATTTTTTTTGTGAGGAGGACCAGCCCTGAGCTAACATCCAATGCCAATCCTCCTCTTTTTTGCTGAGGAAGACTGGCCCTGGGCTAATATCCGTGCCCATCTTCCTCTACTTTATATGGGACGCTGCCACAGCATGGCCTGACAAGCAGTGCGTTGGTGCGCGCCCGGGATCCGAACCGGCGAACCCCGGGCCGCCGCAGCGGAGCGCACGCACTTAACCGCTTGTGCCACCGGGCCGGCCCCTATTTCTATATTTTAAAGTCTTTCATTCATCACCCTATTACTTTTTGCTTCAACAAAAATATCGGTATAAACGGAAATGAAAATTTTCCTGAGACCACAAGGCTCCAAATACTCAACCCATATTCTGGATTAGTTATTACAATAAAAAACCCAACACATTACAAATTTTAACAAATATTCAGCAGCAAAGTACCATTTTGGTGGAACTGCATCTCTTAATGAGGTGGATAGAGCATTTTTTTTGTTTTAGTTCATGTATGTATATGGATATTATTTTTTGCTGGGGTGAAACAGGGTTCAGCATCAATTCTACTCAAATTTTTCTTGGTTTTGTTTTTAAAGATGTAAAGGATGGGGGCCGGCCCAGTGGTGCAAGCAGTTAAGTGCGCCCGCTCCGCTGCAGTGGCCTGGGGTTCGCCGGTTCGGATCCCGGGCGCGCACCGATGCACTGCTTGGCAAGCCATGCTGTGGCGGCGTCCCATATAAAGTGGAGGAAGATGGGCACGGATGTTAGCCCAGGGCCAGTCTTCCTCAGCAAAAAGAGGAGGATTGGCAGATGTTAGCTCAGGGGCAATCTTGCTCACAAAAAAAAAAAAAGACGTAAAGTATGAAACATCTTGTTCACATAAATAAGTAGATGGAGCTGAAAATAGTTTTATTATAGCAACATTATGCAATTCTTTAACCTCTTTCCTCGTTATTTGCCTTAAATTGGATATATATCTATTACCAAAATTTAAGTGATCTCTCAGCTGACAATTTCCATCAGTTTTGTGGAAAGCAAAGAACTGGAAACCACCTGACTTGTGAAAGGATTTGTGACTGCCCATTCAAGTCTTTCACTTTCTCACACCTACACCCACATTTCAAGTGGCCCCTCTCTTGGCCACCCAGGAGATCTTGGCGCCCTGGGCCAAGTCCCGCAGTGAGCCCTGGGCTGCTCTACAGACAAAGAGAGGTGATGGCGAAAGGCAGACGGCACCTGTGGGAGTTGAGGATCTGCAAATCAATTCCCTTAAACTCTCCCTGCCCACGTGCCCCTCAGAAAGTCTCTGCACCCCCATGGGCATGTGCACCAGGGTTTGAACACGGCTGCTCAACCGTCCCTGCAGAGGAAAACTAGATCCCTGTCAGCCCAGGGTAGGCTGGGCCCTGGGGCATTCCGCAGCTCCAGGTAAGTCCTTCCCGTACCTTCTATGACCCATGTGGCAGCTGGGGGCAGGTGGTACCCAAGCCTCTGATGGGGTCTGGAGTCTGCATCTGGGTCGCTGTGGCCCAGGCTCAGCCCTCAACAGTAAGTTCCCTGCCCAGAGGAGGGATGGATTGAGAGCAGTAGGGAGGGAGAGCAGTGTTGAGAGAACCGAGCATCCCTCCTCCCCAGCCCAGTACTTCCTCAAACACACAAGGGAAGCTGCGGGACTCACCAGCCTGGCTGCTGCCCAGGCTCTCTATTCCAGAAGGCTGGAGGCCAAGTATCCTAGTGGGTCCCAAAGGAAGCCCCTGAAACCTCCCTCCCCTCTAAACTTCTTTTTGTCCCAAACCCTCAATGGCCTATAGCACAGGCTGCCCCTTATAGTTCCTCCATCCCTTTCAGAATGCTGGTCTTGAACACAAGGCTTGGGTCTGTCCTCAGCCCTGTCCTCTAGCAATGGCCATCTGGAGTAGAGCGATCTCAACTGCTCTGTGTCAACGAAGCAGATGCTACCTTTGGGACACACGTTCTGGAATGACCACCCCTTTTTAACGCAGGTCTCTCCAGGCATTAGCATGAGCCTCAGGCCAACTCCATGGTCATGGCACCAGTCAGATTCACCTAACGCCCCTCCCCTGCCCTAGCCTCCCATGAGCTGGCACCTCCTGGCAGCTGCCAGGGGCTGAGCCAGTGGTGCCTCCCTGGGTCCTGGAGTGGCATCTGGACACAGCCTGAGTGGGGAAAGTGCAGGGATTAGTCAGACCTATCTGGATCCAAATGTTCGCTCTTCCATTCAACTGTGTGAATTTGGGCAAGTCACTTAACCTCCTTGAAGCTCAATTTCCTCGCAGGGGTGTCCATACCTACCTCAGAGGGTTGTTATGGAAAATAATAACAGCAACCGACTTTTTTTTCTTTTTTGCTGAGGAAGGCTTGCCCTGAGCTAACATCTGCTGCCAATCTTCCTCTATTTTGTATGTGAGCCGTTGCTACAGCATGGCCACTGATAGATGAGTGGTGTAGGTCCACGCCCAGGAACTGAACATGAGCCGCCAAAACGAAACACACCGAACTTAACCGCTAGGCTCTGGGGCTGGCCCGCAACTGACGTATTCTGAGCATTTCCTATAAGTCTGACACCCTGACAAACCCTTTACAGACAGCATCTCAATTAATCACCATCAGAAACCTGTGAGGTTTAAGCTTTTACAGCTGCTCTGAGGACACTGAGGCTTAACGAGAATGAGGAACTTGCCCAGTGCCATGCACCTGGGAAGGGAAGCTGGGGGACAAAGTCAAGTCTCCCTCACTGACTTGCTCTGCCCATCCGGCAAGAGAACATGTAAGCACCTCGCCTGGCGTCTGCACCTCTTGGCCACAAGGCAGCTGTTATTTATCTAGAAAGGAGATATCAAGCCTCCTGGCGCATGGTCTGGCTTCATGGGCAGACCTGGGTGCTGGCAGCCCGCCTCCGTACAATTCTTCCATCCCTTCCCTCCCCATCGCTTTTGTTCTAGCTGCCAAGTAGCAACAGTGTGTTTTCCTGAGACCATCTGAGACAGGAAAAGCAACTCCTGATGCTAAGGCTCAGTTCTAGCCCTGTTTCTTCCAAAAAGCCTTCCTGGACAACGCCAGGCCTCAGGAATCTTCAGTTGCCCCCCGCCTTCCTGCTGCACTAGGACCCTGTCCCTCTGCAGTCTGCTGGCACCATCTGCCGTTGTTTCCCACACACCAGCCTGTCCAAGGCCAGGTCTGGGTGAGGTGGCACTTTTGTGTTTTCCTGAGACTCCCCACCACTGCCATATTCCAGATCCCCTCTACAGGTGTGGCCCTGGTACCCATGCGGGGAGGTCTGCCTGGCCCCTTGGCACCCCGACAATGAAGCTCTGTCTCCCAGGAGGCCAGCAGCCTCCAGAAACCAAGTCTATTTCAGGATATCATTTAAATACAGAGAAGGGAGGGTGCGGAGTGGAGAGGGACATGGCACATTTTCCAAAGAAATGATGCTGCCTGAATTGCTGTGGCTATTTTTAACCCCTGGGAAATGTGGACTCTGCTATTTCCTGATTAGATTAGCGCTGGGGGCG